GATAGATAGATAGATAGATAGATAGATAGATAGATAGATAGATAGATGAATATATAATAGATTGATGGATAGATGATAGGTAATAGGTGGATGATGGACAGATAATAGATAGAGATAAATAGAGAGTGAGAGATATTTAAAGTGTGCACTGTGTTTGAGGCACTGGAAAACAAACTATTCAGGGGGAAAAAAAATGCCTTTAATCTTTAAAAAACAAATCCCAGAAAATGTAGCTTCTAAAGAGACTTATTTCTTCTTTAGATGGACTCAGCCACCCCCACTCCTGTTTGATTTATCCTCACAGAGTTAACATAAAATGACCTACGTGAAGCTGGCTTTTATGTAGGTCAAAGCGATTAAATATCAGCAAATTCACATTACAGAGAATGGAGCAGGGGCCACTGTGGGGATGAGAGGAAGCCCTGAGTGCCCTAGTGAATGTGTGTTGTTGACAAGGGCCCATGGGGGAATGGCAAAGCCTTCCTCCCGGGGTCAGGTTCAAAGGAGACAGCAAATCCCTTCTCGAGGTCCAACTGTGGGTATTGATAAACAGAGTGTGCAGAAAGGGATCACCTTAGCTTTCTCCTTCCAGATATTAACAGGCTGAAGACTGCTCCCCTGCAGAGGCTGTTCCTGCTGAGATTAGCTAAGCCTGTGCCCTTGATCCAGCTGTGGACAATGACCCTGCCTTCTCATTTGTCTGTGTGTAATAACCCTGCCTTCTTAGTCAGCTGTTTATCTCTCTCTAACAACCCCACCTCCTGTTCAGATGGACGCCGAATCCTCTCCTCTGTTCAACTGTAAATAACAAACTCTGCAGTTACACGGTGTGTGGCTTCTCCATAAGAGAGCCCAGAGCGCCTGAACCCAGCTGCAGCCTGTGTCTGTGTGTTTGTCTTTTCTTCATTCTCTCATTGCCCCGAGTCAGGCCAAGTCCGTGGAGCTATACAAGGGACTCAACGTAGTCCCTTGTATACGTTGTGTACGTTGACTCAACGTAGTCAACGTAACCACGTCTTCCTTGTCCGTGTCTTAAATGGCCAGGCCACTGATGAGCTGTTCCCTTAGGCTTCCTCCAAATACTATCTTCACCACTAGTGTTGAGCGTGTTCCATCGTTCCCTGTAGCAGCTATTCTATGCTTCTTCCTGATGACAAAAAAAAAAAAACCCTGCATCTTCCCCCCACGAGCGTTCTTCTGTCCCTACATGTACAAATTCAGCATCCCCCCCTCCTTGCCAAAACGTGGCCCCAAGACCCTGCCCTCTCAATCACCTTATGTTGGATCAGCAGCTAAAGAAAGCAAAGCGATTGCATGTGTCTATGGCCGCATAACAAACTGCTCCCCACCACCCCCACCCCAAAATGTAGTAGCTTAAAAAAGTGTGGGTGGGTCGGAAGCAGCTCACCCCCGTGGCTTGGCTGAGGATGTCTTTGGAGGTTAACAGGCTGTCTGGAAAGCTTGACAGCAGTGTGTCTGGGAAGGTGGAACTGGTTGTTCCATCAAGGATCCAAGTTTTTTTTGTTGTGTTTTGGGTTTTTTGCCAACTAGTTTTCACCATGAGGCTAGGTTGAACCTGGGTTTAAATTTGGTTTTGTGTAAGTAAACTGCATATACATGCAATGTTTACACGTGCACCCTTATTAATTTATAAATCTCTGCGAATCTTTTCTTCCAAAACAGTGAATATTTTCATAGAATTCTAGTGATATTAAGAATAGCATTTTCGAGCTGGAGAGATGGCTCAGAGGTTAAGGCTGCTCTTCCAGAGGTCCTGAGTTCAAGTCCCAGCAACCACATGGTGGCTCACAATCATCTGTAATGAGATCTGGTGCCCATATCTTCTGGTGTGCAGGTGTCCATACAGGCAGAACGCTGCATACATAATAAATTAATTAATCTTAAAAAGAATAACACTGTTACAGTACTTATATACCGTTGAAAACCCTTCAAGAACACTGTTTTTAATTTTTAAAATGTTTTGGTCTGGACAGATCGATTCATAAATATGATAGGTTGGGGGGTGCAGGATTAGGCACAGCGGAAGCCCAGAAGTGCAGGGCTCCCTACTGGAGGGGGTCATGTTTAGGAATATATTTGCTCCATTTCCATTAGGGATAAGCAGTTTCTTGGTGTTTTAGTCACCATTCTACTGCTGTGAAGAGACACCATAACCAAGGCAACTCTTATAAAAGAAAGCATTTAATCGGGGGGCTCGCTCACAGTTTCAGAGGTTTAGTCTTTTATCATCATGGCAGGGCGCATGGCAGCAGACATCAGTTGGGAGCTATATTCTGATCACAAACTGAGAGAAATAAAAAGAAAACCACTGGATATGGGTGTGGGCTTTTGAAAACCTCAAAGCCTACCCCGACTGAGTGACACACTCCCTCCAACAAGGTCACACCTCCTAATCCTCCTGACGTTATTAAAGAGTCTTCCTAGTGACTGAACATTCAAATATATGATCCCAAAGGGGCCATTCTTCTCCAAACCTCCACACCTGGCTCCCACATCTTCAAAGTTATGAACATTACTCTAGGTGAAGCCCGCTCCTTTAAAATGACTCTTGCCAGTCAGCCAGGGAACTTAGCCTTGGCCCAGAGCAGGGACCCAATCACATGCTCTTTGTTGTGACTGGACATAACGACCTACCCAATGTGATCCCTAGTCACTGTGCCTTGGGCCTTCCAAAGGCATCCTACCTACCTGTCTGGAGCCTAAAATGGGGAAAGTGTGAGGCCAAAGAGTATCTACCAGAAGTGGACTCCAGGGTTCTTGAGGGCAACCCCACAAGCAACAGGCTGCATGAATTCCCAGGGGGTCTGTTGCTTGCAGCCATTGCACAGCAGGTTCCCTGAGAAAAAGAGCTGATTGGCTTACCTGGCTGTGGAGGAATACTGTTTTTAATAGTTAGTTGATTATCTGATTATAGATTACAGTGGAATTTTCCCAACACTAAAACAAATCCCCTGGCACTACAACTCACCAGTCTTCCATAAGTACCTTACAACCACGAACTTTACAAACCCTGAAGTTCTGCCTTTTCCAGGATGTCATGGAAATGGTCATTCCTCATATAGTCTTTCAGACTAAGTGTATATGTGGCACTTTTTAAATAATCTCCCAATCTCTAACTAACTTGAGATAGGCAGGCAGCAAGATGGCTCAGAGGAAAAGACACTTGTGCAGTTAAACCCAATGATCTGAGTTTAATTCTTGGGACCCACAGGGAGGACGGAGGGCACTGATCCATCTAAGTTGTCTTCTGCTCTCCACATGCATGCCATAGTGCACACACTCACATGTCCACAGGTAAAAGTAAATGAACACAGTGCTTTTAAAGGAAAAAGTATGTTGCTGAGGAGATGGCTCAGCAGTTAGGAGCACTGAACTGCTCTTGCAGAACACCTGGGTTCCATTCCTAACCTCCACAGGCTCGCAACCACCTGTAACTCCAGTTCCAGGGGATCTGGTGCCCACTCCTGTCTTCTGAGGGCAGTGCGTACACATGGTACACATACATACATGCAAGCAGAACACCCCTGCATATAAAACATAAAGACTTTTGTAAAAAAAAAAAAAAAAAAAAAAAAAGATTTAAGAAGCCTTGATTATTACCTGACAAGTGGCTCAGGCTTTGTGCTTGGCAGCACTGAGTTTAATGGGTGTTTGTTTGTTTGTTTGTTTTTAAGATTCCCATTTTAAAATTTGAGATGGAGCTGGAGAGATGATGGATCAGCCATTAAAGGCTAGGCACACAACCAAACAAAGTTTAAGGGGGTTTTGGTTGGTTGGTTGGTTGGTTGGTTGGTTTTTCTGAGACAGGGTCTCATGTAGCCAGAACCCAGGCTTAGGCTCATGAGCCTCTGTGTCCCCTGGAAAGGCAGTTGGTGCTCCCAACTGCCGATCCGTCTCTAGCCCGTACCTGCCTACTTGTAATGGTCCTGGGACTCAGACCCTGGTCTTCACACTTGTGCAGCACACGCTTTTTCCACTGAGCCATCTCCCAGCCCCATTTTTCTTCTGTAAATTATATGCTTACATCACTTACCGATCTCCAAGAGAGTATTTCTTTCTCGGGCAACAGAAATGTTTGTGCATGCAGGATATCAACCTTTCCTCTGTTTTCTGGAGGAGAAACATCCACAGCATGAGAACATTAAAATGTGATCTCATTATCTATGGTTGTTAAATATTAAGCTGGTCCCAGTTCCTTTTTTCCCTTTTTTTTCTTTCTGCCTCCTTTCTCCTTTCCTTTCACCCCTCCTGTTATTACACATCCTAGCAAACAGCTTTATATAGGAGCTGTTTCCCATAGCAGCAGTAGGCGGAGAGGCTACAGAGCAGAGCCTCGTCTGCTATCAGTTAAAGAAACTGGAATTCAGCAAGGCTACCTGATTGGTAAGCGATAGAACTGGACATCACTGATTATGACTCTAGCCCATGTTCATCATCACTAGCAGAATACTTGAATGTCCTAGACACTCTGGAGAACATGGAGTTCATCATGGAAATTTGGAGCCAGACACTACAGGACACCACAGGACACCCTGAGTTTATTCCCTGGGACAGGAATTTCACCCAGAAAAAACAAAACAAAACAAACAAAAACAAAACAAGTAGTATCATCAGCCCAGGACCTAATGAAATATTGTTTTGTTTTTTAATGTGTATGGGCATTTTACCTACATGAATGTCTGTGTACCAAGCATGTGCCTGATGTCCAAGAAGTCCAGAGGAGGATGAATCTCTGGGGTCTGGAGTTCCAGACAGTTGCAGGCCACTGGTACTGAAATTTGAACCCAAGTCTCTGGAAGAGCAACCAATACTCTTAACTCCTAAGCCATCTCTCCCTACCTAATGGAATCTTAAAGAATACCATATAGCTGATTTTTTTTTCATCTTGCTGCCTATTTCTTTCTCCTGTGAAATCATTTCCTAAATAAAATTGGTACTGCTGGAATTAAATTAGCAATTAAAAATAGATGAACTACTTATTATAGTCTCTAGAAACGTTTTAGATGAACTAAAGTGTTATTCAGTTAGCTAGCTAAAAACATTGCATAATTTTATTCATTTTCACAATTTTCTGAAGGTGTTATAAACAGTTTTGTATAGTTTTAAAATATTAGAAAGGTAATGCATACTATTGCCTCTCACACAAAAGGAAGTCTATAAAAACCCATCATGATAAGACTGATTGCAATCTTTTAATATGAGAAAAAAGTCATTATGCCCTTCCATTATGATTTGATGAAATAAACTAGTGAAGTAATTGATATTCCCATGTGAAATAACCAGAAAACTATTGCTTCAATCCAGTGGTAAAGCAAGACTTCTATTAAGAGTTTAGAAATGTGGTTCAGAGGTGGAGACTTGGTAATGTGTACAGAACCCCGAGTTCAATTCCCAGCACCACCCCAAACAAGTAAAATATAAGCAAAACACCTTAACTCGTGAAGTGTTTTTAACTCATTTAGTAATATCAAGTTCCACTGTGTTCAGGATATTATGCCCCAAAGACAGATTCTCATTCTGTAGCCCTGGCTGATCTGGAACTCACAGAGATCTACCTAACTCTGCCTCCAGAGTGCTAGGATTAAAGATGTGTGCCATCACGCCTAGTTCAACTTTTTAAGAAAGGATTTATTTATTTATCATGTATACAATGTTCTGTCTGTATGTACACCTGCATGCCAGAAGGGGCACCAAATCTCATCAAAGATGGTTGTGAGCCAACATGTGGTTGCTAGGAATTGAACTCATGACCTCTGGAAGAGAGGACAGTGCTCTTAACCTCTGAGCCTTCTCTCCAGCCCTAGTCAGATTCTTAAAATCCCTATTGGGGGTGCAGCATCCATTAAGAGCAATGGCTGCTCTTCCAGGGGACCTGAGTTCCATTCCCAGCATCCACATAGCAGGTGGTCACCGCTGTCTGTAGCTCCAGTTCCAGGGCATCTGACACCCTCACACAGACACACCCAGGCAAAACACCAGTGCACATAAAATACAAATAAATGCATCAAAGATAAGCAATTTCACTTACAGATCTTAAGTGGATTTTTAATTTTTTAAATTATTTTATTTTTTATGATTCTAGAATCTGGCAATACTTTCACTCCATAAAATGGACCGTGTTTCAATGCAATGGGCTGAGCAGAGGAGCTTCACTTGTAGTTAGTTAGTTAGTTAGTTAGTTAGTTAGTTAGTTAGTTAGTTAGTTAGTTGGTTGGTTTTGGTTGGTTTGGGGGGGAGTTGTTGTTTTTTGGTTTGGTTTGGTTTTTCGAGACAGGGTTTCTTTGTGTAATAACCCTGGCTGTCCTGAACTTGCTTTGTAGACCAGGCTGACCTAGAACTCACAGAAATCCGCCTACCTCTGCCTCCCAAGTGCTGGCATTAAAGATGTGAGGCCGGCTCACTTGTTTTTAAAGACAGGGCCGCATATCTGGCTGGCCTGCATCTCCCTATGGGATGTTCCAGCTGAGACTGGAAGTTACTTTCTGATCTCCCTGCCTCCACCCTTGGAGTGTTGAGGTTACAGGTGTTTGCCAACGGACAGGGTTTTCCAGAGTGCTGAGGACTGAGCCCAGGGCTTGAGGCAAACTACTCAAAGCACTCCTCCAGCTGAGCTGTAGCCCCAAACCTGGCCTGGTTATTTTAAAGTTAGTTTCCTTTTAACCAGAAACAGGGAAACAAAGTAACAGAAAAACCACCCTCACCAAGGGAAGGTTTTCCATCCGCTTACCTCCACTCCTTATCAAGGGGACAGGAGCAATTAAACTAGGGAAAACTTACACTCAACTAGAATTGATCTTTTTGGAAAACTGGCTGTTTCTGATATCCCTCCTGGTGTCTCAAAGGTTCTCATGAGAACAATCTAGTTTCAGTTTCGTGGCCTAGAACTTTTAACAAGAATGCCTTTGAACTGATTTTTAGTTCAGTTGGGTGGAGTTCCTGCCCCGGGTCTAAAACAAAGATCACGTGAACCTTGAATTTCGCAAGCTGAGTAACAGTCAGCTTTGCAGGAGAGGAGGATGGGAGCACGTGTGGAAACAATCCATTGCCCTAAAGGAATCAATGTAAACACATTTTCTATTGAAGGAAATATAATTTGTTACCCTCAGGGAGGCGGTGCCTTGACTCTCCATGGCAGTGGCTACGTAGTTTCAAGATCTCTGCAGGCTCTGCCCAGATGAAAGAAAACAAAACCAAGTGGCTGACAAAGCCTTCGGACAGGTCTACACCTCAAACAATTTCGTGTAAACCAGATTCAGTATCTTTGATGGGGTCAGTAGAACAATGAGAGACAGTTGTTTGTTTTATTGTTGTTGCTGTTTCTTGTATACCTTGTAGCATTCCTGTAGCTGAGAATGACTTGGCTCTAAACAATTGTCAAGAGCAGGAAAGAGGGCTCAGTAGGTCAAGATGCCTATTGCTGAGCCAGAGGACTCCAGGACCCAAATGGAGGAAGGAGAGAATGAATTCCCCTCACTCCACCCCTGCCCACAAAACAAATAAATATGATTTTAATGTCAACAGTGGGGCTGGAGAGGTTAAGAGCACTTGCTGCTCTTGCAGGAAATATGGGTTCAGTTTCCAGCCAACCACAGACTGACTCCCAACCATCTCTAACTCCAGTTCCAGGGGATCTAACAGCCTCTTCCCACTGCAGGCATGAGGTCTATACAAGGTACTCCAACCAATGTGCAGGCAAGACACTCATCCACATAAAATAAGAAAACCTTAAAAGACTCAGTACTTTGTTTCACTTGAAGAAGTGTCTCTAGCGATGCCCTTCTTTTTTGGTATGCAAGATCTAAGCACTCACCTAGTGGTGTTCACTATGCTTTCGCAGAATGTCTGAGTGCTGCCTGCCCAGTGTGCTTCCAC